TAAACGACGGGGGACAAATTGACAGTCCACCGCAGCAAAGCCCTCAGTGTCATAATCACGAGCCAGAGGCTCCAGGTCCCATCTTGACCAACACTGTAAATGTAGGGCACAGACGCCGTCTGATCAGACCTCAGCGACATCGAAAAGAACCACCACGCGACGGTTCGCGCCTGCCTGATTGCAAACAGGAACAGATAAAAGAAGAACTGGAGGCGTACGTACCTGAATCGTATTCGCTTCAGATCATTCCCGCCACGCGGAAGTGAAACAAATGTGATCAGAACGCCGGGCTCCACCTGCGCCACCCACTCTTTGGGTTCGTTCTCTTCCACGAACAACACCACCGGGTCCACTCGCCGTCCACTGGACGAATTCGGCGTCCCTTCTCCACTAGAAATCCCCTTGAGCCTCGCTTCCATCTCCTTCCCCCATGTCCTCGTCGTCGTCGAGCTCGAGCTCCCTGTTCTCCGGTACGACCACCGGAATCGGTCTGAATCCGTATCTGACTCGATATTGCTCCTGAGTCGAGTCTGCGTGGGCGGCCCCGTGCACGGGCTGCAATGCTTGTACGCGCCCGATGCTTTCAACGCCATATCCTTTAGCTAAAAATGTCCATTCAAGAACAGTTAAACAGAAGCAGATATTTAACGAATAAGACAAATATTGTGGGACTTTAGCGATCGCATAAAGTTACGGTTACGGGTTCGTACCTGAGAAGTAAGAGACTTGATGGCTTGGTTTTTAGAATCGGAATCATCGGGCTGACTCAGCGAGTCATTTCCCGGTTTCTTGGGACGAGCTATGCACGTAAGCATTTTCCGGTTCTGTCCAACTAATCCAATTCGCGAATCTGTGCAGAATGAAATGCCAGAAGAGAGCACAATTGGGGATTAATTCATATTCGATGCTGTAACTAAGACTAGAGTTGATCGACATTGCAATATCAGAGAGAGAATAAGTACCTGGACCTGGATTTGCGAAACCTGATGAGATAGACAGGGAGATAAAAGAGAATAGGAGACTGACGGTACTTGGATGTTAAAGCGCGCGAGAATTAAGGCAGTAACTAGACTTGATTGTGTGAATTTGGTAGGTGTAAGCGTGCTCTGCTTTGCTTTGTAATGGCTATAATGGAATGGGGGAAGGAGGAGTGACATTTTCATTTCAGTGTCTGGGGCTGTACTTCATGCTTTATTCTCTTACCTGTTACCGGAAGTTAACCGGGAATAGGCCTTCGCGCTTCATGTGTTCTTTCAACTCTTCAACCTTCCGATGCTTGCTCTATAAGGGGCAGGTCGTCATGATCAATAATCGATCCAGGACACGTTAGCCGGGCCAGTATTACGGCCTGATATTGAGCAACCAGGGCCTGATCAAATCTTTACAAATCTTTTTCTAGGCTTTGCAATTTGATCTCAAAAAGAACACTCCTAAACTTGGACTTGGACGTAACATTTTGGATCTTTTTTAAGCTTACATGACTTAGGCTATGTTTGGATAAAATCTTCACAGAGGTTTGGGCTAGCCAAACCTTAATTAGGATGTTAAAAACTCTTTGAAAAGAAAAAAATTACGTTTGGATAGAAAAAAGTTCTAATGAACTTATGGACTAAACATGGCGTTGGCAGCGAAGCCACTTTTTCTAGCTTCTGGCGTTGGGCTTTTGCGATTAGTGGGAATATTGAATATTTAAATAACAATTATTTTTTTGTTACCCTTTTTCTCTCCTCCATGTGGTGCTTGCACAAACTAGACTTAGACACGTGCATAAAAATCAATAATTTATCTTTTCATGGTCTTTTAGGTTCTCAACTCCCAGGATAAAAGAAAAAACAAGAAGAAGAAAAATACATATGAAAAAATTTTTAATTTACAGCTGGAGAAAAATACGTAGAAGAATATTAATATTAAATTATGTTATTCTTAATTTAAATTTAAAGTTTGCGAAAAACACATATAATAAAAATTCAATTGTATTATTTTTAATTTAATAATATTCAAATTTTACTAATTTTATATTCAATGCATTTTATATTTGTAATTACTTTTTTTAAAATTTTTATTTTAAGTTTAATATTTTTTCTTAAAAATATTAAATTTGTTATAAAAATATATACAAGAAAGTTTATATTCATTTTTGTCATTATATATCTTAACTGACTTTGAAATTAAATCATCCAAACAAATTTTAGTTTGTTAAACTGACTTCTTAACAAAAGATATTTAAACATAAATTACGTTAAAGTCATAGACTTTTTTCTTAACTTCAATTTGCTAACCTCAGTTGATTCTAACCTTAGTTATAAATTTTTTTAATTCAAACACACACTTACTTTCTTGTTTGTTATTTGGACGCAGCTACTAAACTAAAACACCACTCCTTACCTGCTGCTGTGTCTTTGTGGTTCTGTGGTCATATTGAAACTCCAAAGGCGCGGGTTCGATTGCAGGTATTCACTCTTCATCCAAACCCTAAAACACCACTCCTTTTTCTTCCCCCGCCCAAAATAATGTTCATTTTTTTATTTCACACTCCAACTTGGGATTCTATTAAGATGGACCAATTCTCTAATCAATGGATCCAACCATCCAATGGTATATACTATGGATATATCCGTTTATCGGGGAAAAGAGGCAACATATACTCGTCTACACAGATTTTAAATTGTGGATATGAACCTTTTTTTCCAACACTTATCACTTAATGGGTTGATTATGTTTGGCTTCGTATTTTTAAGTTCACTTATTCTCCCTTATGATGCCCTATCTAATTCATCAGCCTTCATACAACAATAACAACAAGCTTTATTTTACTAAGTGTGGTCAGCTATATGAATTATATGATATCATTATGTTTTATCATTCATTAAGTTTTTAAGAATATTGTTAATTAAAAGGTTTTGCTCAACAATCTCAAAAAGTATTATATTTAGTCTTCCTCTACCATTCGTAACAATGCTCAAAGTTATATATTCCACTCTCCTAACACATATCTCTCGTGATCTTCTTTGTACATGTCTGAAATTACCTCAAATAATTTTCTATCATTTTTTCTTTAATAGGTGCCACACTCACTTTTTCTCATATTCGCTCATTTTGAATTTTATTTTTACATGTATATCCACACATTCATCTCAACATTTTCATCTCTGCTACTCCAACTTATTCTCTTGCTGTCTTATCAAAACCCAACATTTACTACCATATAAAATTGCTGGTCTTATATTAGTTCGATAAAATTTTCCTTTAAGCTTACTAAGTACCTTACAATAACAAATAACTCACTCAGTTTTTCTTCAATTAAACCATCTATTTGTATCCTATGTATAATATCTCCATCAATGTCCTCATTTTGTTGAATAATTGTTCATAAATATCTAAACTTTTTCACTTGAAATATGGTTTCATCACCCAATTTTACTTTCAAGTTATTATTCACTAACCTCTTATCAAAATTACAATGTAAATATTTATTTTACTCTTATTTAAATGAAAAACTTTTGACTCCAATGTCTTCCTCTATAACTCAAATTTACAATTTATCACTTCTCTTGTCTTTGTAATAAGAATTATATCATCTGTAAAAAGTATGCATTTAAAAATTTTCTCTTAAATATGCATTTAGGAATTCATCAGTCTTCATAATTACATGAAAATTAAATCGATGAGGAATAAATGTGAACAGGTAAAAATAAAAAATGTACATAATTGACTCGTAAATAAAATCACGCACACAGATGAGGGATAAATGTGAACAGGTAAAAATAAAAAATGTACATAATTGACTCGTAAATAAAATCACACGCACAGATGAGGGATAAATGTGAACAGGTAAAAATAAAAAATGTACATAATTGACTCGTAAATAAAATCACACACACACACAAACAAAATGCACGTGCCATTAGCATGCGTGCTTTTCTTCCACGTGTTCGCGTTTTAAATGATTAACAAAAATAAAAGTAATTTTAAGATAAAATTTATTTTTTAATATAAGTCAATTTTATACTAAGGTAACACGGTTAATGTATAAAAATCTAAGATACTGATGAACACAATAAAAAACGCAACAAACAAAATGAGAGCGCTGTGTGGTTGCAGAGAGTGGAATGATGCGTGCCTGTATGAAAAAGTCCCCCGAGGGGGAAGATTCACATGAGTTTTACAGACAAACAATAAGACAACTTACAAACAAGACAATATTTCCCAGACACATCAATTACATAGGACAAACAGAAAACACAGTAGCATACTACAAAAACACCATACTTGACAAAACAAGACGCAACTTAAAACTTGGGTTTATCAGCCCATACCACACCACTCCAATCTTGCATTAATAATATTAATATTAATATTAATTTCCCTAGATCCGGGCGCTTCTAAGTTCCAAGTTCCAGTTACCTCCAATTGCCGCCAACTAAGGTAATGGCACTCTGGTTCTGGTGGCTCGCGGCCAGCCACACAATCAAACAATCCATTTGATGTAACTACCTTCCCCTTTCCCTTTACCTATACTCCGCAGAATTGTCAGCCCTGCTTTTTATCATCACAGTTACGGCATCGTATTCTTGCGGTCTAATCTCTGTGAATTTTCTGCCGATGAAATATTTCAATCACACTATAATCGAACGGTTGTTTTGAGATTTTAACCACACATGTTGTTTCAACGTATTGATAATTTTACGTTGCTGGCGAAAAAAAAGACAAATTGCGAGACATATGCCCCGTGCTCGCCCAGGTACATGGCGTCACCCATCAGTTTTTCAGCCGTCGATTATTCGTGCACCGTTATTCCGTTAATGTAATAAAACATAAAAACAATCCTCCTCCTAAATTCACGCCTCATGAAGCAGGCTCCTTTTGCATGTGCCTTTTAATTTTGGATTTGATCGCCATAAATTTATTCTCAGATTTATTACTATTTTTCTCCGGACAGCACGCTGATTCTATATTCCACGTGTCAGCTAAGAACAATGTAGAAAGCCTGAAAATTCTGCCACGTGTCCAAATTAAGTTCCTTGCCTCTCTGTCACCCGCAGTAGCACCTGTGCGCGTCGGAGCCTCGACAAATAGGACCGCCTGTGCATGCTTTCCTTGTTTGTTTCAACCTCTCCTCGCCGGCTAACCATCCTCTCCGTTCAGTTTCACAGTTATGCCTGTGACGAGGAGTGGGGCTTGGCTCTAACCTGAGGCTTCATAAATCATATATATGTAATTATATATCTAGTTACCCGGACAGCTCAGAGCCCAACGCTCTGTAAACGGCCAATTTCAAACTGCCAGAGGTGCCAGGGCATTTCCAGCTTAATTTCTCTCGTTCCACGTTTAACCGCTTGTTTATATTCTGGTTCTTAGCCAGATCTTCATTGATGAGTGATATTAACTAGCAGAATATTTCGAGCTTCTTTCTTCTCGTTCACGTTTTGTTCTCCTTTTGGGGGGATCCTCGTCTTCTGGTTATTTCTAGAGTATTTTGGAATGTCATTTTTAAGACGCAGGAAAGCCTCCGTTAACTACACGCATCCTGATTCAGAGCATGAGTTTGACAAACTTGATGGTAAGGTGAAGGGGGAGAAAGAGATAGAGACAGTGAAGAGAAAGCGAAAAGACGACAAGATAAGAAATTGGTCGTGCGTGGATAGCTGTTGTTGGGTAATTGGGTGTATGTGTTCAACGTGGTGGTTTTTGCTGCTCTTGTACAATGCGATGCCGGCGTCATTTCCTCAATATGTGGCGGAGGCAATTGGAGTGCCCTTGCCGGACCCACCGGGCGTGAAATTGAGGAAGCAGGGTTTGACGGCGAAGCACCCTGTGGTGTTTGTGCCCGGCATTGTGACCAGTGGACTCGAACTCTGGGAGGGCCGTCACTGCGCGGAAGGATTGTTCAGGAAGAGGATGTGGGGCGGCGCGTTTGGAGGACTGTACAAGAGGTAATGCCCTTTTCTGATTTCTCATCTTACTTATGAGGGTGGCGTCTAAATGCGAAAAGCTAGATGTACTTCGTATTTCTTGATCGAAAGTAAAAAAGGAGCCGTTTACGCAAGAGATCAATCATTTATGTGTGGTGTTGTCTAAATTCTCAGTTATACTTAAAAGGAGCCGTTCACCAGATTTAGAATGAGAATTGCATTTATAAAGCAAACTTTCAGTTACTTAAATGACACTAGCCAGATGTTATCAACTACCAAAGTTTTCTCGCTATGAGAAAGAGAAGTGTCCCTGAAACCATTATTCTACGGAGAGCCAATGTCGAGAATTTTGACATCTGCTTTCGAACTGAAAAATCACAAACTGAGTTTAGTGCCTAAAAGGTTGAAGCTCTCCAGCCATAGAATCGTTGATAAATGAAGCTTCCTTTAATATTATTATTATTATTGGATGGCATGTCGCTTCAATCTATCAATGCCTTTTGGTAATACATGTTTGTAAGCTGTCAGTAAACAAAGAAGAGATGGTAGGAATTAATTGATGATTTTTTTTTTCCGGGGAAATGCTGAGCAGTGAACACTTGACCTTCCTATCCAGTGGATCCAAAATTTTCAGCCCATTTATATGAAATAAGTACGGCCTACTTGACAGAGAAATTGGACCTCATGGCTTGAAAATTGAGAGCCCTTTCAAGAGCAATTTCCCTTTTTCCTTTCCTTCCTGAAAGAATTTATTGTTACCTTACCTCTCAGTCATTTTTTGAATTATAATACTAGGTATTTCCTTGACTAAACATGTTAGGAATATAAAGTTATACCGATGAACTTTCATTTGGGAGTACTTAAAGTCATCATTCTAGTATTTGACTTCCAATCCCAGTTAGAGCCAAATCCAATAAAAAGAACTTTACAGTTATATTTTTGTATTCATTTGCTCATCATTTGGTAGAGATATTTGATATGCTGTACTTCATACAACTGATTGAGAAGCCAATTTATTTTTTCAGAAGCCCGTTGTCTGAAAGCGTTGGGGAGTATATTTGTATCTAACTGTATTTCTGTGGTGAATAAAATTTGCGTCAGTTTCCTTGGTTTCATCATTTTTTCGTGAAATCTATCAACAACGCTACATGTTTTTTTTTTTAATTTCTGTTTTTTTGCAGACCATTATGCTGGGTGGAGCACATGACCTTAGATAATGAAACAGGACTAGACCGTCCTGGCATAAGGGTGAGGCCTGTATCTGGACTAGTGGCAGCTGATTATTTTGCACCTGGTTATTTTGTTTGGGCTGTTCTAATTGCCAATTTAGCCCACATTGGTTATGAGGAGAAAAATATGTATATGGCCTCGTATGATTGGAGGATCTCGTTTCAAAATACAGAGGTAAATTACCTTTTTTGATCTATAAAGCTTTGAGTTTTCTTGTTGCATAAATGTGTAGTAAACCCTCAGATGAGCTTTTTAATTCCCTGCTTCATTTGAATAGATAAGAGACCAAACTTTGAGCAGGATGAAAAGTAATATAGAGCTCATGGTGGCTACAAATGGTGGTAACAAAGTGGTTGTCATTCCGCACTCAATGGGGGTTCTGTATTTTCTTCATTTTATGAAATGGGTTGAAGCACCAGCACCAATGGGTGGTGGGGGAGGTTCAGATTGGTGTGCAAGGCATGTAAAAGCAGTCATGAACATTGGAGGACCCTTTCTTGGTGTTCCAAAATCAGTTGCCGGACTTTTCTCCATAGAAGCCAGGGATATTGCTGTAGCCAGGTTCTTATTTTAACTCTGGACCACTATATCGTCATATCCTTTATTCAAACTTAATTGATAGGATTCTTTATATTGGAAATCAAAATTAGATTGGTGTTTCAACTGGTATGTATGAACTGTTCAAGAATTCCTATTAATGAGGAAAAACTAATTGCAATATGTTGGGTTTCTATCTTCTTATAATGAATAAGGACTGAAAAAAATTAAGAACCTCAAATTGTTTCTAGGCCAGTATATTGGACTTTAACCTATCCCTTTTGGTAAAATGAGTTGTTGAATACATTATTTGCCTAAGATGGCTACATCCTTAATCAAGTGTCTCTTTTAAATACCCTTAAATTGTTTCAAGTTGTCATTGACATCGCTTTAACAAGCATGATCATTAGACATTGACATCAATTTTGAAAGTACTTTAAAAACCAATAAACATCACGTCAAATGTCTCAGTTGCCAGGATGCCTATAATATATTCCTCTGTACTGAAATTCTAAAACAAGCATTGTTATTTTCCATCATGTTTCACACAATTAATGAGCTGCTATTCTGTATACAGGACAATTGCACCTGGTATTTTAGACAAGGATGTTTTTGGTCTTCAAACTTTGCAACATATAATGCAGATGACTCGAACATGGGATTCAACCATGTCAATGATACCAAAAGGCGGAGACGCCATATGGGGTGGCCTTGATTGGTCACCTGAAGGACAATATAACTGCAATACAAAGAAGCAGAAGAATAATGATACTCATCATGTATTTCAAAATGGGAAAGAGAGTTTTAAGCTCATGAAAAATGTGAATTACGGGAGACTTATATCGTTTGGGAAAGATGCAGCTGAGTTACATTCCTCCAGGCTTGAGAGGTTGGATTTTAGGGTAATGTTCCAATTCCAAATATATAAAAAGTTAGAATTTGTTTAGATTCTCTGTAGCTCAAGTTTTCTGTTTATTTTGTTTTTGTTTTTAACTGCACATTTTTTCATTATATGAATAATATAGTATTCAAAGTCGGTTTGCACATAAGCCAATAACTTCCTTGGTGCTCGTTTTCACAATGGCAGTTGTTATAGAACTTGAGATAATTAAACATGCTCAGATGTTGTCATAAGGGTTTGTTTCAAGTTAATCAGTACCATCACGTTGCTATTTTCTCATGCTTTTTATAATTAATGTCTTTCTTACTTGTGTAAAACTATAGAGTTTTCTGTTTGCATGTCAGAATTCAAGCATTTAAATGTAATGACAACACCTATCAAGGAGTACCCACTCCACAAATCAATGAAGAATCAGATCCAGATTAAGAGACATGACCATTGGCTCATGTTTGGAAAACTCTGGCGAATCAGCTGCATGCTTTATTTAAATTAATCACCATTTATTTTCATTCCTTTAGCAGCATATCACTCCGTGTATGTATCTTGTGTAATTTCAATATTGAAAATATACAGAGACCTCAATACTTTCAGTCACCTAGCATTTTCTAAGTTTAAATCATCTCAGTCATGCATGCAAAATGGTGACCTATCATTGAACCTCAAGTTCTGTTTCTAAGAAAAAAACTTCAATATTTTTCTCAAATTACTTTTCTGTCTGTCTCCTGATATTCCAAAAATGTGGGTAGATGCTCCCTGCAACTGCAAGCACTTGGCAATAATTGCTTTTATAAATAATTTAGTTTTCATATTTTCAATACTTGGTTGCAATTGACAGGTTAAACCTAAGGGCAGGAAGCCTGAAAACAAATCCAAATGCGCTATCTGGTCAGAATACCAGGAAATGGGAGTGGATGGGATCCATGCTGTGGCAGATTACAAAGCTTACACAGCTAGTTCAATTTTAGATCTACTTCATTATGTTGCTCCTAAGATGATGAAGCGTGGAGATGCTCATTTTTCACATGGGATTGCTGATAACTTGAATGATCCTAAATACAAACATTACAAATATTGGTCTAATCCCTTAGAAACAACGTGAGCTTCTCTACAGCTATCTTTGAAAGTTCGTAATGTTTTTATTTCTATTAGTGATGGATATTATTCTCAATCTTTCTTTTCTGCTGCTAAGACTACCAAATGCTCCAGATATGGAAATCTTCTCTATATACGGTGTGGGGATACCTACAGAGAGAGCATATGTCTACAAGTTAACTCCTCCATCTGAGTGCTACATACCTTTTCAGATTGACTCATCAGCAAATGATGAGGACTCTTGTCTAGAGGGTGGAGTTTATTCTGTTGATGGAGATGAAACTGTTCCACTTTTAAGTGCTGGTTTCATGTGTGCAAAAGGTTGGCGAGGAAGAACCCGTTTCAATCCTTCGGGGAGCCCTACTTACATAAGGGAGTATAAGCATGCCCCTCCAGCCAATCTTTTAGAGGGTAGGGGGACCCAGAGTGGTGCACATGTTGATATTTTGGGGAATTTTGCGGTTATTGAAGATGTTATTAAAGTAGCAGCAGGAGCCACTGGCAAGGACTTAAATGGAGATAGAGTGTACTCTGATATTTTCAAATGGTCCGAGAAGATAAACTTGAAGCTCTAGTTCACATGGTTAGTCTCCCTCTTCGTTATATTAGAATTTACTTCAACTTCTATGTTCTATTTAAAGTGAGATGGTTTATATGTTGAAAAAGGATAATATATTGACGGTTCTAAACTACTAGCATAGCTACTTCAAACCAAGCAAGCCTTCATTCTGACTGAATTTGAAATTTCCTTTATATTATGATCCATCTGTCAGTCTTTGGACAAAATATCTGGCTTTGCAGTGACATAAAGGACATTTAGTACTCCTCTGTATTTATACGAAATTGTTGGGTATGTTGCATGTAGCTTCGCTAAATTACTGTCTTATATGATTAATTTCAGGACCTGCTTGAATCCTGCTAGGTCCTACCATGTGCTGGGAGTTGAAGATTTTAGGGCTACGTGTGCTGGAGGGGTTGAGGATAATGGTGATGATGGTGATTATAAATGTGGCCTTCTTAGCTTCGGCAAGTCTGCATCTTATGAGCGTGGATCTGTTAAATGAAATCGTTTGTTTGTATGCAAATGTTAGGCCTCATAAGTTTGTGGCTTTTCCTGTGAAATTGATGTGGGTGATATTTTTTAAGATGAAACGTATAACCGTAGTGATTAATTTCAATTACTTGGCATAATGACTTGTAAATATATGCCCTTTAGTAAAAATAACTAGACACGTTTTGTTATATATTTATACGGAATTTGATAAATAAATTCATATCAATTTTTTTGGTTGAAATTTTTTTTTAGGTAAGTTGCATCTCAGGAGTTTACCAAGATCAGGATAATACCTTTGGATTTAATATGCGCTTACATAAGTATTTACAGATTGCTTATTAACAAGAGTTTCACATCGAGATTTGATGTTACAACTTTAAGTTATGAACTAAATTTATATCAATTACATTAACTTTTGTTAGTTAATATGAATTTTTATTATAGTTTTTGGTATAATAAAATTTGTGTAAAAATATATAATATAAGATGTATAGAAATCCACACTCATTTGAACCAATGAATTCACAGGAATTAATTAAAAGCACTTAAATTTGTCATTAATAATAAATATGTCAATGATTTGTGTTATTCTTCGACAGCTACCCTTAACATTTAATAAGGTATCATAACCAATGGTTTTTTAGCATATTTAAATTTGAATCATTAACTTAGCATTAATAAGAGTATTTTGATTGAAAAAAATGTAATGCAATAGACAAAATGGATAAATTTTTATATAAAGGAGTCGAAGATGGTGTGGTTTGGTTGGGATTTACTTACTACATTTTTCAAAATTGTTTAGTTTGAATTTGCAAAGATTCATGCCTGACTACCACAAGTTGATAATTTGATCGGGTGTAGTGTAGGTCAAGCATTGTAAATGAAAAAGATTGTTTTAAAAACTACTAATTCGATTTTGACGATCCTTGAATTTAAATCTTTGCATATAATTAACAAAAAAAAAAACAAACAAACAAACAAACTCACCAACTATTGCAAAGTACTATATTCAATCTATCTATAAGTAATGGATTTTAGTTAACTAAAAAGTTATGTTTTTAAAAAAATAAGTTGGGAGCCGTACTTAACAAATAGATTTTTTTGGCCAACGCACTTAACAAATAGATTAAGAACTTGTGTTTTATTTATAGTTTGTATAAAATTTAAGGTGAGGTGAAATATTCATTACTTATAAATAGTGGCTTTTTTGAACTTTTTATTCAGGGAGAATTATGTTGAACTCCCACATGAAAAAATGAATTATTATAAAGTTCATTACCAAATAAATTAAAATCATTGACTAATTAATTTTTGCGTGTGAAAGTTATAAGCTCCTTATTCTTCTTCTGAGTTATACAACCACTTTTGGGATGACAAAATGCTTCGTCCATCTTAGCCTTCATGCCACTGCCAATGCATACATTGATATCAGAGAGAATTGAAGCCTGCATCAGAGTCCTTGTACCGAAATGCACAGAGCAAGAACGTGTGTGAGTGTCAAAACAAAAAAAACAAAAAAAAGCCAATAGGCCGAATAGCCAATTTTCAAAAATCATATTATACTCCAAAAATTAGGTTGGGAAGAAAAGGTGTTCCACCATCCCATCTCTTCTTTGCGGATGATTTAATTTTATTCAGTGAGGCTTCGGAATCTCAAGTTGAGGTCATTTCTAAAGTGCTACAGCAATTTAGTATCGCTTCCGAACTTAAAGTTAGCTACTCGAAGACTCGAGTATATTTTTTTAGAAATGTTCATTCAAATATGAGGAATTCTATCTATATCAAACTTGGTTTCAAAAGTATTGATTCATTGGGTCGCTAATTGGGAGTTCCCTTCATCAATGGCTGAGTTACTACTTGTACCTACAATTACATCCTAGAAAGATTACATTAGAAATTTTCTGGATGGAAGAGTCACTCCCTCTCTCTGGCAGGTAGAATAACTCTTGCAAAATCAGTTCTTAACTCTATCCCGCTCTTCACAGTGCAAAGCTCTCTTTTGCCTATTTCAACTTGCAGGGCAATTGAGAAAGTGATTAGGAAATTTATCTGGGGGCATACTGAGGATCGCAAGGGAATTAGCCTTGTCAAATGGTCTGACCTCTGTCAGCCCTTGGCAAATGGTGGCTATGGCTTACTTAATCTAGAAAGTCAAAACAAGGCCTTCATCTCCAAGCTGGCTTATAAGATTGTCTCTGAACCAACCTTATTATGGGTACGTGTCCTAAGGGGAAAGTACAGACTTCTTGAAAAATTCTCGCTTGAAGTTCACTAAAGGAATTCCACCTACCTTTGGAGAAATATCTCACAAATTTGGAAGAATATATTAATGTTCATCAAATGGAATCCTCAAAATGAAAAAGATATTAAATTTTGGTCAGACTATTGGGTGGGAGATTATGGTCCATTAAAGCTTCTTGCCTTTACAACATTATTTGATTTTGAGCTTGCAAGACCTATTTCTCACTATTTGGATCATATGAATCAGTGGAGATGGCAGCTTTTTGATCAGATCCTACCTACACATATACTCAGTAATATTGCACAAATTAAAATCAATGGGAATAGCAGTGACCCTCTCTGCAACTAGACACTCACTACTAATGGCAAGTTTAGTATTAATCCTTCTATAGAGCATCCAACTACACCAACTGGAATGATTCTGATAAGAAATGGAAATATATCTGAAAATTACCAATGACTCAGAGGATTAAAACTTTCTTATGGCTATTACTAAAAACAAGCTTCTCACTAATGTTGAGCGAAATAGAAGAGGAATGAGTCTTGATCTATCTTGTCTTTTATGTCCTGCTATAGAATAATCTATTGATCACATTTTCAAGGATTGTAAATTAGCCATTGGAGTCAGGAAGAAAGTCTTGCCAAATGATATGCGTGCTGATTTCTATAGAAGTAGTCTACATCATTGGCTTACAAATCTGCTAACAAGTAAGAGCATGGATATTTCTTGGAAGATTGGTGTTAATGTTTTGTGCTGGAAACTCTGGACAGCTTGCAATTGTGGTATCTTTGCAGGCAACACTTTCACTCCATAAGAGACACTATGCCATGCTAGAATCATTGTTGACCATACTTTAAAGGCTTTCTCTCTTTTCAATACTCTGATGTAATTTTGTTTTCTTGCTTGCTCTCATTTGTCCCTTTCTGTACTGATCCTATGTTTTATTTGGACCTTTGCCTTCTTTTGTCATGATTAATGAATTCCTTTTCACTCAAAAAAAAAAAAGGATTAACTCAACCAAATCAAATGAGTGTCAAGCTCTGATGATCAACTTTTTCCACGCACAAGATCAAAGTGAAGTGAATCACTTGAACTGCGAATCAAAGTATCAATGTTGGGTTTATTTATTTATTTTTTTTAAGATGGCTACTTATTTAAGTTAAATTCGAGCATTTTCTCAAGTTTAAGTTTTTTTTTTGGAGCAAATGTCAGTTTTAAGTTTGGATAGTTTTTTTAAAGATGTTTCTTATTTTGACATGGACTGGTGCTTGGGACTCGGTGATTAAGCAACTGTAATTTCTTTCACCAAAGCCAACATCTGTTGGTAATTTGAGTTAATTATGCTTGCAAGTGAAGTGGGCTCCTTTGTGGTGTTGGGCCTGTTTCATGTCTTATGTTTCTGTCTTCGAGCCTGTCGCTTGACGTGGCACAGCTTGGTTTTTATTCCGCATGCTTCAGGGTGGGGCATTAACTTTAATGTTCGATCCAGCTATATGCTTTCACTGCATCACAAGAATGTTGAATATTCTAAAGTTAGTTTTCTTTTTTCCTTCCAACAACCAGCACGAAATTATTCAAGTGTAAAATAAATATTTAACCACATATGAACTAGATATTTTAATTAAAGAATGAATTAAATAAATTAAAATTAAAATATTATATATTGTTCTCTCCTTTAAAAAATGAGATATTTTTAGTTTTTTAATAAATAATTAATGAATTTTTTTTAAAGATATTCTTAATAAATAAACCACTAATCAACCTTTCACTGAGATATTTTATTAAATAAGAGTAAATATAAAAAAGATAATTTTAATTTAAAGATAGTTTGCTAACTTGTTAAGAGGATAATTCAGGGTGGGGCATTAACTTTAATGTTCGATCCAGCTATATGCTTTCATTGCATCACAAGAATGTTGAATATTCTAAAGTTAGTTTTCTTTTTTCCTTCCAACAACCAGCACGAAATTATTCAAGAGTAAAATAAATATTTAACCACATATGAACTAGATATTTTAATTAAAGAATGAATTAAATAAATTAAAATTAAAATATTATATATTGTTCTCTCCTTTAAAAAATGAGATATTTTTAGTTTTTTAACAAATAATTAATGAATTTTTTTTAAAGATATTCTTAATAAATAAACCACTAATCAATCTTTCACTAAAATATTTTATTAAATAAGAATAAATATAAAAAAATATAATTTTAATTTAAAGATAGTTTGCTAACTTGTTAAGAGGATAATTTAGTTAAAAATATTTTATTTTTCTAATTAAAAACAGTATATAAAATGGTCTTAATTAGAAAACTCTCATGAAAAGGTCATGCCAGAAAAAAGTCGCGAAAAAATGGGGCGAAAGATTTCTCCAAGGAGAAAATTTGATGAAATGAATGCATACTTCATCCCGTTCTATTTAACTTTTTAATTTTACGTTTTACTAAAATTTATGAGAAGAAATGGTAATAGAATTCTTTTAAAATATATAAATAATAATTTAATTTTTTAAAATATCATAATTTCTCTTAATTTTTTAAAATTTTTTATTATTAATGATTTTATATAAATTATTAAATTACTCTTATTAAAAATAAATAATTCACAAGTTTTGTTTAAATATTCATAACTTTTTCCTTATATTCACAATAATACAATAATAAATCATAACTTTACATATTAAATTTTTTATTTTTTGTTTTATTGTTGTGAATATAACAAAAAAATTATAAATATTTAAATAAAACTTATGAATCATTTATTTTCAACAAGAATAATTTGATAGTTTATATAAATTTATTAATAATAGAAAATTTTTTAATAACTTTAGAGGGATTATAATATTTGGAGGGATTAAATTATTATTTATTTATTTTAGATAATTTTTATTGTTATTTTCTCAATTTATAATTATAATAAAATATATTTAGAAATGATAACTTGCAACAATTATTAAAAAAAAAAAACCAAAACAAAAGCAAATCCCCCAGGAGAGAATGGGAAGTGCGCGGGTAAATGGGCGAAAAGTCTGAAAAGTCAATGCGTGCTTTCATCTTCAAACTTCAAAGCTTCTCTATCTTCTTGTTCACCAAAAAAAAAAAAAAAGCTTCTCTATCTTGTTCGTCAATCGTGACTGCTCTTCGCCATCCAATCACATTCCAAACTCACAATATCGTAATTTTAGTACTTCAATCTTTGAATCTCCCAACACTCAAACAAGAATGGTTTTCTTCTAAAAATGCCCAAAGACCGGTCAAGATATTATTAATAGAATTTTCCTTTCGATATATAAATTCAAGGGCAACCCCTTTTCTTTCTCCTCCGGAAACAGTCTGACTCCCTACAATTACTTGAACACCTAACTCGTTCAATCAGAATTCCATAATCATGAAGAAAGCTAGCTTGGGCCTCAATCTCAAGCTCAATGTTCCGCAATCTGAGCAGGTTTCCTTCGCCAAGTTTCTGTAAGTCTCCTTCTCCTCGCAAATTCATCTGGATGAATGAATGTGGTTGTGTCTGTGATTGGCTTTGGCTGATTCAAATCTGGGCTTCTGATAATATTGCAGGACTGAAAGCGGGACGTTTAAGGATGGGGATCTGCTCGTCAATCGGGATGGAGTTCGGATTGTGACTGAGAGTGAAGTCGAAGCTGTAATATATATATATATATATATATTCCAATTCCGTTCTTTTTTCTTTCATTTTTCTTGGTGCATATCCAATCAAATTGCTCCGTGTTTCTTTGAGTGCATTTGATCATCTTGATCATGGGATCTGATGAAATGTTCTGTGTGATGAAAAAAGATTTTGATTTTTCTTAATTTTGACCTCCAAAACCCAAGTGGAGAATTTTTTGTTACTTTACTATATCTTGTCTGTCTTCCTTTTCTCTTAAACCAACCGGAGAATAAGCTGCAAGATGCAAGCTTATGGCACAAAGACTGTGCCCCGCAATCTAGTTTTGATTTTTATGTCAATGCCATTTAAGAAAATGAACCTTTTTAGGGAAGTTTAGTGTGACATTCGATGCATGAAATTAATTGCCTGTGTTCTTCTATCTCTGCTCCATCGGAGTAAATGGCCAATTTTTGATGAATTTTAGATGTGACAGTTGATGCATAAAATTGTCTGGGTCTGTTTCATTTCTATTCCTATACTCGGGCCATAGAAATGATGGGCCTTGACATGGAATGCAATATTGACATAAACAGAGACATCTTAATTATCAATATGTAATTTAATTTAAACATCTACCAACAAAAGATATAATTTAAAGTGTCGAGTCATGTTTAAAATGAGTATCCAGCACGTGCAGGACATGGACGCCGTTTGTTCAAGTGTCAGATCCTTTTTTTCCTTTCCCTCCCTTCTGTATTTTTCTGATAAGAATGGCAGAATGCAAGTCTTGGGCCTTGCTTTTCTGCCACAGCTCTTGCGTGAATGGTCTGAACTAATAGAAAACACTATCATGCTTCTGACCATTTAAATTAGTTCCTCATAAATTATTCTTTCCATGATGGAAAAATGGGGGAGGGGGAGGGGAAGCACCAATGTAATTACTTAGCCTGAAAAATTTCCTATATTTACTTTTATTTTGTAAAAAGTTAGAAACAGAAACAGATGTATATGCTGGCTGAATTCTGACAATCTGTTGATTATGGGTTTAATATCTGTCAGGCACCTCCCATCAGACCAATAGACGACCAGTTAAGTTTGGCAGACATCGACATAATCAAAGTGGTTGGCAAAGGAAATGGTGGGGTAGTGCAACTGGTGCAACACAAATGGACTAATCAGTTTTTTGCACTAAAGGTATGCATACTTACTGCATAGTGCCTACCTCGCTTTGAATGTGCACCCTCTTCTTTTTTTTTTTATATATATTTAATTAACTCTTTCATACTTGTGTTGTCTACTGGATTTCATAATTTCAAAGGCAATGCCTTTCTCTCTTCCATGACATTGTTGCAATGAGCACTAGGATATTTCAGCTTGGTATGATTACTGTGAACTTTATTACTTGTTTTACCATACAATAGCCGTCAGTCAAGGACACATTCTCTTGAAAGTTTCAGACAATGATTTGGTCTCGTCATTATCCCTTTGTATAAAAGCTAATTTTTCAGATTTCAGTCTTTCAGAGTTTGTTTGGAAGAGTTGTGTTTTGTCAAACAGAATATTTGTGGTGTTATTTTGTTCCAAGGGAGGTCATTGGACCTCTTGGAGTCACTGAATACGTTGACTAAGATGCGACCTCATACCTGGAAATTTTATATTTTAATCAATCATTTGATGGGACAATTTAGATTGTGTTCAGAGGACGTTTTCTGAAGTTAAGGCTTGAATATTTAGTTTTTTCACAAGAAATTTAAAGTCTCTTGTTTGTTTGTCCTTTTATTTTCCAATCTCATTATTCACTGCATACATATACGAAAAAAAGTGGGTGTTGTACCTATTGCGGGAAAATGTTAGAAAATAATTTTAGATGATTTGGACACGTATAGAAAAAGATGTGGGAAGCACCGGTAAGAAGAGTGGAATGGTAGCCTTGAGCTTTGTAAAGAGAGGCGGAGGAAGATTAAAAAGAATATTTATGGGAAAAGATAAAAGTGGGTGTGGCATCTATTGGGTATATGAGAAAAGATAAAATACGAAATGAGTATATATGGGAAAAAGTGGGTGTGTTACCTATTGTGGGAAAATGGTAGAGAATCATTTGAGATGGTTTGAACATATATAGAGAAGGCCGTGGGAAGCACCGATAGGAAGAGTGGAATGGATAGTCTTGATCCTTGTAAAGAGGGGCAGAGGAAAACCAAAGATAATATAAATGGAAGTTCTTGAACAAAACCTTTTAGTTAACAATATTTCTAAAAGCTTGGTTGATAATAGAGCACAATAGTGTTGTGTAATCCATGTAGTCGACCCCATCTAGTGGGATGAAACTTGTTGTTGTACTGTTTTGTGTCTCTACAGTCAGACAATCTAATTTGTCATTTTGAAAGTTTTTTCCATATCATTATAGTAGTGAAAGTGTTTAAACTTGTGAAGTAATTTCCTAATAACACGGTCACGATGGGATCCCCAACAGTGAAAAATGGGCTGTGAAGCACTGGATAACAACTCAGGAAATATTCAGGTGGGAGAGGGACACATGGAGGCTTTCTAGGGGAGATTTGAGGAGTTTGTTTGAAGAATGGGAATAAAAAGCAGCTGAGGGAGAAAGAGTAGGCAGAATTTGGGGAGAAGTTCTGGGAGGTTCTAGCCAATTGAAGAACTAGGGTTTATTTATTTTGCCCCATCTATGCTGTAAATTCAGATATCGAAGTCTATTTCCATCTGTTTACAATCTAAAATTTATTTTTACACATTTCATTACTTATGGTACACATTTCACCACAATTTAGGTTATCCAAATGAATATTGAGGAATCCATGCGAAGGCAGATAGCACAAGAACTTAAAATCAATCAGTCAGCTCAATGTCCGTATGTTGTTATTTGCTATCAGTCATTCTATGAAAACGGTGTCATATCAATCATCTTAGAGTACATGGATGGAGGTTCTTTAGCAGATCTTCTGAAGAAAGTTAAAATGATTCCGGAAAAATATCTTGCTGCTATCTGTAAGCAGGTGAGGAGTAAGAAGTTATCTTTCAATATTTCAGACTTAGGCTCGGCTGGATTTTGCTCTTCTGAATAATGCATTTGAGGAGCTGATACCATCAGAATACCTGATTCCTTTCATTTGTTTCGCAATGCAGGTGCTTGAGGGTTTGATATATCTTCACCATGAAAAACATATTATCCACAGGGACTTAAAACCTTCTAATCTGTTAATAAACCACCGAGGGGAGGTAAAGATCACCGACTTCGGCGTGAGTGTAATAATGCAAACTACATCTGGTCAAGCAAATACTTTCATCGGCACATACAACTATATGTCTGTGAGTACGTTGTGTACCTATGTATATTAAATTATCATGTTCCTGGGAACACATAGATGTATCATATTTGCTATGAGACGACTTATCCATTTTGTCTGAATTACAGCCAGAGAGAATCAATGGAAGCCAGAATGGATACAACTACAAAAGTGACATATGGAGTTTGGGACTGTTATTGCTCGAGTGTGCTACTGGGAGGTTTCCATATACACCACCAGATCAAGGTGAAAGATGGGAAAGTATTTTTGAGCTAATTGAAACAGTTGTTGATAAACCTCCTCCCTCTGCTCCAACTGATCAATTTTCTCCAGAATTCTGCTCGTTTGTCTCAGCATGGTAATTACATTCAGTAACTAAATAGTGTAGAATCTTGAGAACCTTTGCCCGCCACAAAATAGAAAAACAGAGGAAAAGGGAAAAGAAAAGACAAGACACTTCTAAAATGTCTGGCCTTTTCTTAGAATAAGTCTGTAGGTAAATAGAACCATAAAGTTAAAGGTAAAAATATGCACCGGACCTTGGAGTTGTATCTTCACAATTCACTGTAAGATTCTTTTCATAATTACACAGAACAAGTCTTTAACTGTTTTAAATTAATACTAAAGGCTGGCAATATTCACGAGGTTTCTGATCCTCCTTTGTCAATCTTCTCTTTGTATAGTTTACAGAAAGACCCAAAAAATAGACCGTCAGCTCAGGATCTTATGGTGAGTGACTATGTGTAGAACTTGTCTATATGAGAACACCTTGTACAATATCCCGTCTGATGTGATGTTGCATGCGTGCGTGTGTCTGATGTGAAATCCAGGGACATCCTTTTGTCAACATATACGGGGACTCGGATGTAGATCTTTCAGCTTATTTCAAGAATGCAGGATCCCCACTTGCAACTGTACCTACTTCTACTTGGTATGTTTCAACCGTTGCCCTTTCTCAAACTGGAAACATAGCCATCTTTCCTTTTGTTTTATGCGCCATTTCCCCCCATATTGTTAAAGATCTATATATATATATATATATATTATAAATTAAAAGATCTACTAATCAATACCAGGACTTTTGCTTCGATATTGAGGGAGTTGTTTGTTAGTGTAAACTCTTTAGCGGTTAGGGAGAAAAAGGAAGAATAGTACAAAATATATATTTGTTCCATAATTGATACAAAAATGTGTCAAGTTTTGAAGTGTGGAAATGAAAGAAAAGTCCTGCTTGAAGATAGGAGGCAATGATGGAGAAAGGGATAGCTGAAGAAACTTTGCATTCACCAACTCATCGGGAAGAACTGATGTAAAACTGGAAACTTACTCTTGGTGTGGGAAATTTTAGATATTTGTTTTACTGGTTAGGCACTAATTGAGGTTTTATTTTGTCAAAATAAGTACTAATGTAGTTGCATAAACTTGATGACAAAAAACATAGCAGCAACCTTCTTTACATACTAGCGTCCAATTCTTATTACTAATATACTCCATCTGTCCCATTTTATAAGATATTTTTGGAGGTGATTTGGTATTTCAAAATATAAAATATTTTCAAAAAGCAGTAAGGTTTCATTAACAATAATTATTCTAATGTTACTTCTCATTATTTCACTCCTCAAATAAATTTCCTTTCCCCTCTTATTTATGAGGGATATTTTTGGAATTTCATAGAAAAATTAAAATTGTGAACTGTATTTGATGAACTCCACTTGTATGCGAAATCCCCCGCCCCCCCCCCCCCCAAAAAAAAAAAACCAATAAATTGGGACAGAGGGAGTATCTGGATTTTATGAGCTTCTTTTTTGGAACAATTTAATATTCCTTAACAGTGGAAATCAGTTGCACTCGTTGGCAGTTTCTGAGGTTTAATTTTTACCTGATATGTAACTGCAGTTTTTGATTCCTCTCTATGCAGATCGTAGAGATTATGAAGGACTTTTTTTTCGTTATCAAGTGAATTCAACGATAGGCTTCTATTATGAGACTTGCTAGTGCCATGATCCACGAGACAGCAATGATTAAAATTTCATTAAAAATATTAGTGCTGAAGATGATCAACGGACACTTGCTGCGAATAGTTTGAATTTTTATGATGGCAACTTAAGATACGTCACTGGTGTTGAGATTAAAGTTGTCAGGTTGTTGCAAAGGCACGTATAAATTTATGCCAAAGGTTTTGAATTCTGTAGTTGTTTGCAAATTCCCTTCTCCCCTGATGCTCTGTCAAGTTCACTTCATTATGAATAATTTTGTTATGGCTTGTCAAATTGCCTGATTCATCTTGGAGTTTCTAAATTACCTGATAAACCAATAATAACCCAGACTCTTTCATTAATAGATATAGTTTGGCTAATTGGTAAAACAACTATAGTTTTAATTGTTTTAAATAATCGGAAGAGAATTTGACAGTGCTCTTTTAGGGAACGTGTTTGGATTGAGTAAGTAATTTTGAGCATTCATTGGCCGAAAACATAGAAATGTGTTACAAAGAAATATTACATAGGAGGATTCATATCTGTCCCCCGATAATGCACATCTTATTAACAGCAGTAATATTAGTGCAATGGGATGAGATAATAGATTCCCAATGTCGAAAACACATCAACAATCAAACATCTTGTGAAGCTGGACGAGATCCTCGACAATTACAGAGTCTGAAGTGTTAAAATAATGTGTTATGGTATTATACAACTAGACGTGTTTCTCTATGTGAAATGTAATATTTATGGCTTATTAGTATTATGATTTGTTATAGGTTTTATGTTATATATTGATTACACACATCATGTTTTGGTTGAATACGTTAAAACCAAGAGATAAAAAATGTTTTTAATTAAAAAAATTAAGGTGCTCAGTTAATTTATTAACGAAAAACTCGCACACATTTTGATTAAAAAAATTTTATGTTATTTAATAATATTGATTATACACATTTGAAAAATTTAAAACGAAGATAAAAAATTATTTTTTTTATTAAAAATTAAGGGGCTCAGCTAACAAATCTAATTTACGTTATTTATTGAAAAGAATGATTTGTAATTCAAAAGGGCATAACATTTATATATTATATGCTCCCTCCATTAAAATATATAACATACTTTTAACTGTTACACTCCTATTAAGTTAATTATTTTTTTAAGTCAATACTATCTTCTCATATGTGCCCTTATTTAATAGGAAATCTCATTTAAAGGTAAAATATTGAGTGATTTATTTATCAAAATTATTTTTTAGAAAACAAGCTCATTAATTACACACTGTCAAACTAAAAATGATTTGTATTTTTTAACATTCAACTTTTAAAAAAATATCTCATATTTTTTAAAAGGAAGAGAGCATGATGTATAAGTCAAGAGACAATTATTTTCTTAAAATAAATAAATAAATTGATAGAAAAATTCCGCGGTGGGGTTGGAACATTGTGCTAATCAATTGTATTGGCCACTTAAATGAAAATAGACGAATAATGAATATTTCCTCTTTAGAGTTGGGCTAACAAAACTCTCACAAAGATAACAAAAACCAAACGAACCTGATCTCATTAATTGCGGTACATACTTAAAATAGTGTAAGCCTATAAGGTGACTTAGCCCTGGCCTGATGATAAAAAACTGACGGGCTACATAACTACAGTGAAAAAAATAATTGCATTATAGTCCTATATCTATGAAATATTGAAATAAAATCCCAGGTAATGGATGGTACTTGATTATGTCATGCCTTGGTCTTAAATTTTCTTTGACCCTTCAAGTCTATCACTATGACAGAAATGTTATCTTTGCTTCCCCTTTGGAGGGCAACTCTAGATAAGTACTCTGCAGCATGCTGCGCCGCAGGATCAACTCCCTCACCCTTGCCCGGCCACGTCGATCCGCCATTGCCATGCTTCTTGTGCCAAAGAAGGATTCGTTTTCGTGCAATCTCGCAGGCTTCTTCATTTGTCATGACATCCCATAAACCATCACTTGCCAGAATGAGGCACTCATCCTTCTTCTCCCGACGAACAAACTTGACTTCTGGTGTAGGAATTATCCATGGCTTTAAGTACCTATCACCTGGTGGCGAAGAAGGAAATTAGATCACAAATTAAAGAGAAGTACAACAAATATTTCAATGACATCCTGCATCCTTCCATAAAATTGAACATTAAGGTATTTTATATGCCCACATGGTGAGAATCTCAATTCTTTATTTGAACCAAATGCTCAATTACCAAGTGAAAAAATAGACAGTTGCATTGTCATACTTTGGTATGGTAATATTGTTGTTGTACTTGTTATTTTCCCATTGATAGCTTTCATGAGAGAATCATCCAATTCTGATATCACATAGAAAGTTTATTAAGGTTCTTTCCTGTCCCAAAATCTCGGTTTCTAGGCAAGGTTACTGGAATATACAAAGTAAAGAACACAATGAATCAATGACGGTGCAGAACTTCATGAATAGGACACTGACGCAAATAATATAGCATTGAATCTATGAAAAATAGCCGTTAAACCATATAACTCGGACATCAAAATATAAAATAACCTAACAACAATGTGCACAGTGCTACGCAACCATAATGCATAGATAAAAGCATGTCGAAAAGATGCCAAAGGTACACATGGTCATGCTTGATGATAGTTGGTAAAAAAAAAAAAACGCCCTGAACACATGCCTATGGACCTTGACACTGCCAAGACACCAAGTACCCGGTACCCATTCCACTGTATGATCCTTCCTCCTGCAGCTTCTATCCGGGCCCATTCATCCTCTCTATTTGGCTACACATGATATAAAGCGAAATTAAATACAAAGAACCATACAATGTGAGCTTCAAGTGAATGACGCAAACAAACTGTAATATGAATAAGATATCTTACTTTGTGATCAGAAGATAGTGGCAGCGCTTCTTTTCCACGACACAAGACTGCTCTTGAATCCCCACAGTTTGCAACTATTAAGTGGTTTTGACATAAAATGACAACCACTGCAGTAGAACCAACAGTTTCAGGAGCAAATGCTTCAATACTGGATTCTGATCCATCGTTATTGTTTCCATTGTTCTCAGGATGTATTCCTCCAACTTCATCATCAACTTTCTGAAAACAACCGGTGAATGCTTCTTTCCAATGGTCCATCCAACTACTTCCATCCAAACTTGAGTCTGCAGCTTGTATCTCCTCAACAAGCACTGAATGAAGACGCTCCTGGCAATAATTAGCAACCTGCAAAAAGAAGTCCTCGGTGAAATGAATCAACTTCAACAATACTCCAGCTTGTACCATCAAAACATTTTGTTGAAACTTGAAAGCATACCTGACAGCCTCCATGTCCATCATAGACAGCAAAAAAGTGGGCATCTAAATTTTCAGTGTTTTCATTCCCAGTATTATCCATTAGCATATGTGAAGGAACTTGCGAAAGATGAGGATTCACTGCAATAGCATCCTCCATCTCCTTTCTCCTTCCACAAATCGACGAAAAGCCCCAAAAAGGTCCAGTATTCAAATCCAAAGCCTTCTGGAAGCCTGGTCTCCACATTTTTTCCTCCATTGGCACCTCAAGAGGTGGAGCAACTAGTTTTGGATCAGACCCATCCGACCCACTGCCATCTTCACTCTCAGGATCCGTCGGAACAGAAACAATGTCTTGCACTGGCTCCAGCACAGTACATGAATTGTTAAAGCTGGACATACCATGGGCATTATCTTCAACGTCCATATTATTGGGTAAATCAATATCTGAAGCTGAAGATTCCTCCCCAAGGATACTGCAATTGTTGTGAGCCACAGATTGAGACCTTGAATCGTGCAGACATTGAATATTAACCCCTAACCTGCATTCATCTTCCTTCCCTCCCTGATTATGGGTTTCATCTGAGAACCAGTTTCCGTTACAATTAATTAACATTTCTGGTCCAAGCGAAGCACCTACCTGATCCTCCTCCCCTGCAGATACTGTAACCTGAAGTGGTGGACAAGAATCAGTATGATTTTCATCACTTCCAACAGATTCACATCTGTCCATCACAGGATTTAATATCAGTGCTGCTGCTGTACTTGCCATAAATTTGAATCCAGCAATATCCATGTGTGTTGCCACTGATGAGTCGCCAGGGATTAAATTCCCAAGACTAAAAGGCACTGCAACCGCCGAAGATATTTCCTCCATAGATTTAATTTGCCTTGTAGCAAAAACCTTATCCTCCTCGCCCACTAGAATATGGAACACTGCTAGCCTCTTCCCAATTTTATACCCTATTTTCTTAGGTCTCTATTCTACATACGTTCACTCTAACATAAAACACCAAGACGCCTATGGCAAGAAATTAAAGGAGCTTAGAACCCACTTCCCTAAGAGACAGTGAAATACACTATTTATTTAGGCAGCAAACTTCAACAGGTTACATTAAAGCTGGGGTGTTATATGATCGATAAGCTCTCAAGATTATTTCCGAATTTCACCTGATTTTGGACCTGCTTGTTCAATCACTACCAGCGAAAAGGGACACAATCTATTGTATTAAAATCTTCTATTTCTACTTCCTCACCAACCCCTTCGGTCCCCTGGAAAAGAAGGCAATCGATGATTCAAGAACCGTATCAAAATAATGGACAAAGTCAATGCCTTGTCTCTCTCTAGCAAGCATAAAGACGAGGGAATGGGGTTGTTAACAAGCAAATAATAACAAGAAGAAGGACAACATAATAACAACAATAAGCAAACAGTTAAAAACCGCCCAATCAGTACAAAAATGGGGACAGAAGTTCCCTATATCTGAGGCAACCCATGCCATCCATTGAAATTTCAATGGGTTTTCCTCCCTTGTGTTACTTTCATATGTCAACCCACACCAAGTATCTCAATTCTCAATAATTCAGAACAAGATGTCCAAATGCATCATTAAAACTCCCACCCACTTGAACAAATCAAAAAGAGATAAATCTCTCAAGACAGTGAAAGCAAAGACAACTTCGTAATCCAGTGTCGCTTACCTTTCTCAAAGCGAAAATTCTGCGCGTGGAGGGACAAGGAAGGTTATGGTGAGGGGTGAGGCCTCCACGAGGGTATACAGTTATTTATAATTTATTGGTTGCATTTCTCTGAGTTCAGACGACAAAAGATGCCTGCTTTATTTTTCCGTTCGATTACATATTCTCTTTATTTTAATTTAAGCTCTTTTTATATTTTCTTAAATATGAGCGTCTCTCTCACATTTTTTTTTATTTTAATTCCATTCCATTACATTACATGTTAAGCTAGTTCTTTAATTTTATGTTATACTTTATTTTTTCCCTTTAATTTAATTTATTTTGATTTATCCTCTTGTTATCACTTGAAATTATATTTCCATCCCTTAATTTTATTTAATTTTAAATTATTTTTTAATCTGATACTATACTTTTACTTTCGTCATTTTAAGTTTATTTTGTTCTAATTTTTAAGAAAATCCAAAATTTTCATCCTAATATTGTTAAATTGTAATGATTAACAAAAAGCTTGTGTAACAATAGATGGAAACAGAATTTAAAGTATATTTAAGAGATTAAACTAAAATTAGAAATCATAGATCTAAAAAAATTTTAGAAAATAAGATCAATACTAACTAATAATAAAAATAAAAAATATCATATTTTTCCCTTAAATTCATTTACTTAAATTTTGTATTGAAAAAAATAAATTCAAAAATTCAAATTATATTTCGATCATTTAACTTCCTTTTTTAAAAAAAAAAGAATAATAGCTTTTCTCCCATACAAAATCTTTCAAGGCCAAAAAAAGGGGGAAAAGAAAATCCTTCCATGAGCCTTTCCACTTGTCCCTTTTGTGTATTGGACTGGATTTTGGCAAATAAATATCCTAATCTTGATTAGCTTTTTTTAATTCCCAATTTAGATGTCAAAGTCTTTGTAGGTTGCTGTACCAATCGCCCTCTCTCTCATCCATTATGGACTTTATTACTCACTTTTACAATTGCACACTGAATATTTATATTAATAATAATTATTATATTAATGTAATGCACAGTCATGTCCATGTGTCCACATTTCATTCTTTCTTTAAAATACTCATCCCTTGCATAACATGTGCAGATCACCTAAGTTCAGCAAAAACTAACCAAGCAACATCACTTAGCAAAATTCACACCTAGAGACCCTAATCTTATAATTTATGTCAATCTTGATTAATACTAATTTTTTTTCTAAATTTTTGTAGATGACTTCCTTTTTATCAGTCAGTTTGGCGTTTGTTATATGTTCATTAATTGTATTTTAGGTTAAATAAAAGAGACTCAATACTTTGAATTTAAATATTATGAATGAAAAATATCGGCATTGAAAAAACTATTGCTCAATAAAGTTTGATTTGAACTAGTTTATCTACAATCAAGAAAAAATATTTGTAATTTGTAGTTCCTGAAAATATTTTGTAATTGCTCTTAACCTTTTATATAAACTAGGATGGGAACACGAGTACATGAAATTCAAGACATACTATGTCGTTTATACGTAGTTCTATGAATAACGTTATTTTCTACAATTTTTGTAGGTATATTGGATTGGATGGAAGAGTATTGGACATTCCAAGGAAAAATAGCCTAATTAAATTATATGAACTTATAAGTATAATTTATTAAATTCATAAATTCAAGAGAGTTTATTTACAACCCCGAAGGCCAACAATAATGTGGATTTAAATTTTTGTTGATATGCAAATTTTGGTAAGTTGTGAGTATTTTTTATAAATGTTCTTCGAATTACGAGACATGTCTGCATCAAATGAGTCTCAAAACTAAATCAAATGTAAATATATATATATATATATATATAGTAGCAGTTAATTCAAAATAGAAGAAATTAAAGGGATGCATAGAGTGAATGAGATGACGTGGAAGAGGGTAAGAGGGAACAAACCCCAAGTGGCAAGGGGAGATGCATGTACCAAGGAAACACCCAAATTCGGGAGAAATGAGATGAGGGGGATGAAGAAACACTGTTAATTATTAATTATTAAAAGACTCTATGGAAAAGGAAGTGCGTTGAACCTTAGAAGAATAGAAGAAATGAAGAATGACCATTCTTGGTAATATTTAATAATAAAAATAAAAGAAAAGGGCACATGTATGCATGCATAGTATAAAACATGATCGACACGTCAGCTTCGATCCTTGTGCTCATCATGATTTAGCGCCACGTGTTCTCTTTCTCTCTGGTTCTACCACCCACCGACCATATCTTCTCTTTCATTCAATTCACGTCGACACATTCTCTGTCTCTGTGTCTCTCAAATGCATTGCCTTCTTTAAACTAAGAGGAAAAAAAAAAAAAAATTCGTTCCTTAATCAATTTCGATTAAGGTCGTGTGGTTTTATGATTAAGGATTAGTTCTCATAAAGTGATAATCATGACCACTTGTATATTTAAATATAACAATTTCAAATTATCGAACTAACCAGTTTAAAAGTTATACCAGTTTAATCAAAAAATTTAAGTTTGATTTTTGAAAATGTAGCAAGAATAATAATAATGAACCTTTCATCCAAAAGAATTCCAAATTAATTCAATTTGAATTAGTTTATGTCTAGTAAAACTCTTAGACAAATATAAAATATTAGGTGCTCTACACAAAATAATGCCAACTTAACAAGGATAATTTTTTCTGACAAAAAAAAAATGAGGATATTTTTTAATAAATGTAAGGAGTAATGAATAGTTGTTTCTTTTATATTTATGTCTGAAAAAGACTCTCATTTATTTATTGTAAAGATATTCTAAGGAGTTTTTTTTCCCTCCCAAATTTTAAGCATGAATAAATAACTTTGTTAGTGTTCAAATTTAATAAAGGCATAGGACGCATAATCTCTCTATTTTCTTTATTAATGATGATGATGATGATGATGATAAAGAAATGGAAAGGTTTCAGGTGTGAACACAGACCAAAATCTAAAGTCATGAGTTATAGAAAAAATTTCTCGGCGGAACGAAAGGCCATCTGCGTGTTTAATTTTATCATTCACATGATCTATGCTCTAGTCATGATGCGAAAAAATACGTTACATTTGTTCTCAAAATCTCTCTTATTATTGGAATATTCAGACAAATCTAAAATGTTCTTGTGGATTATGGATTATAGACAAGGGACCGACTTGCTTCAAAACGCAATTCTGAATTCATCATCATCAGCGTATATGGAGATAATATTGAAAATAATTTAAAAAACTTGGAAAACTAAAATTTCTGGACATGCCAATCAATTGGATAAGGGGACTACTCGTGGACTAGAAAAGTGCAATAACAGAGAGGAAAAGGAATTATAATCCCACAAATGTTGGTTGATTGGTGCACGAACATAGTCAACAGATCCAATCATGAAAGTCACAAGTGATGATCAACCTAAGACGATTGATTAAAGTCGAAGTTAAATAAGGTTGGTAGGGGCATGATGTTAATCAAGCAGTCTTTAATCTAAGACTGGCTAATTAGTCAAACTTGATAGCCTGTTGATCCTTGCAAGCAATTGAATTGTCGCCTAAAAATGTTCTGAAAGATCAAACATTTTGTCACTTACAACCACCAGATAATTGCGTGTCTCTTTTTGAAATTTAGTTATTTGAGTTTAATTATAAGAATGTAATTTAATGTAAAAAATATTATAAAATGGTATATTGATTCAAAATTTATAAATAATTGGCCACTTCAAATAAGGGCCTGTTTGGCTAACTGGAATGAGATCAATGTAAATCAATTTAGTTTTATTTGAAAATCGGAATTTCTAATGTTGGATATTAGAAGTTGCCCGAGGCGGAGCTCCGAATCCTAGTTCGTAAGAGGACGATCGCAATGACACCTAGTTTGATATTACGGTTCTGCCCATGTTGTGTTGGTGAAAAATTCATATGATCATCGCAGAAGGGACATTTTTGGCAGACCGATACGAAAAGAGTGTTATTGACACCAGTTTTTTGTGATCATGCCATGATCCTCTTCTGTAAAAGACAGATTAGCATCTCATGATCCCATGGAAGCGATTAAAAATTGAATATTCCTGCATATTTATAAATCCCAAATATATCAGTTTATTCCTCTTCTGATTTTCTTGTAATAACAGCACTAACCATTCCGTACTCTGTAAGGAACTATTGAGGGGACTCATACAATCGACAAAATGGTTTCAACAAAAGTACCAAATGGACACACATGCTGCTCGATACAAAAGGTATGTGGAACTTAAAATTATAGACATCTACACAAGTGCCTACTGATATCTAATAGAGTTCCTGATGCAATCTAATCTCCAGATATATATATATATATATATATGGAGCTAATGTATGGATTCTATATGGTTAAGTAGGTCCTTATCATGGTTGACCCGGTGGGATCTGAAAGTAGGTGTCTCACAAGTAACATTCTCAAGTTATTTGGTGCTACAATGAACATGTAGAATGCAAACAACATTAGATCTGTTGAAGAGAGGGTCGAACCAAGAAATCCTTGCCACATCCTGTAATAAAAACAAATTTAACAATTATTCCATATCATCTTTCATACTTGAGGCAAGATGTGGCCTTATTCAACAATCTTGTGCACATGGTCACCAATAGAAGATGATCAGACAAACTTTTAAGGCCTGCACCTAAACTTTTTTACAACATCAATCCTAGCCACTTATATATTCATTGAAACATGATACCATCTCTAGCCACGGAACTACATGATAATTTCCGAGGGCCTGGAGACTCAGACAGTTTAATTGGCACCGATACAGATACAGAGATGCAGAGTCTGGAACCTCGTGCTGTGAAGTTATTTTAAATCGTATCCATTCTTCAAATATTTCATATCCATTTTGGCAGCTACCCAACCATGCTTTGTAAGATACTCATTTTCAACATTGGAAGATCTGGGTGGTAGGGGTACGAGAAGTTTTAAATTTAATGTCACTTGAAGGGGGAATAACAAATAACAAAGACTCGTGGCTTTTGATGAGGCTTTCTTTTGGCTTTCACGTACTGTAGGAAAGACAACTCGATTATTTTATGGGACGAGACCGAATTTGAATAGCTAAAACTACAGATATGGTGAAGGCTTTTGCTAAGCCCTTCGCATGTGTTTAATTTTCTACCTACAAAATGATGCAACAGATCCTAGCCACATTATACACAGGGAGAACATCATAAATCAAATTTCAAGATATCTATCACAAATGAGAGAAAATAGATCATACCAATCAGGTAAGCGGAAGAAAGTGTGAAAGAATGTTCTAATGCCCTCAATGTCCAGCTCCAGAATTAATGCCAGTCCGAAGAGAAAGAATGACCTCTGCCGTTTCCTTTCTTGTGGCCAAAGTGCATCCCAAGCTGAAAATAATGAGAACATAAATGCATATATAAGTGGAAAATTCCACTTCCATGCTTCAACTGACCAAGTATGCTCTCACATATTGGAATGTCCCCTCCATCTCTATCTCCAAATACGTATCTTGAACTCTTGCACATTAACGCAGGACAGTGTAGCTCTTCGTATGTTAATAAGTGAATACTTGAGCGAATTTCCAATGGGCAAATACATAAAGCAACTTAAAAAAATTCCTACAAAGACCGACCTAGATAAAAATTGAGATTCGTTGTTATCAAAATTAACAAATGTCATGCGGTCAGCCCAGACTAAGGGGACCAAAAAAAAAAAAAATCGAAGCAAATACTTGGTTATGGCAGATTTAAGCGTCAAATTTTTTTTAAAAAAAATTGATTACCTTGTGCTGATAGATTCTTGTTACTTTTTTCATGGGTAAGAATGTCCATTGAATGACCCCCTCTCAAGATAGTAGCAATAACTGAAGCATATTTTGGAGCCTCTGACAAAGATCTGACTACTGAGTATCCTGTTAAATAAAATGATGAATATAGGATCGATAAAACATAATCATGAAATGAATATAAATGATCATGACATGCCTGTAGCCGGATGAACCATGCTGGCAGCAGCACCAAATGCAAGGTTCTTTTGCTCTGTATTTGGCAAAGATCCACCAACTGGGATATACGACCACTCCTGCATAGAAATACATACATATAGCAGTAATTTTTTGGGTAATCATAACTAAGATTCGGATACAAATAGAGTTCATTTATAAACTTCTAATTGGCCAAAAAAATTAGACCTAAATATAACAATACAACTTGTCTATATATAATTGTTTCAAAAACCCAAATATAATCTAAAGGATGGTTAGAAAGTGAGGATGCAAAGCAACATTGTTATCAATGGAGCACAGGACATGCAAGACTGGTTACAACAGTAAGCTGGACCGGAAGACTTTCAGTTCCACTACTTCTATCCATCATGGCACTAGGCTTACAGTACAACAACAAAAACAACAACAAACCTTATCCTACAAGGTGGGGTCAGCTATATGGATTATATGATGTTATTGTGCTTTATCATTTATTAAGTTTTTAGAAATATTGTTAATCAAAAGGTCTCGATCAACAACTTTCAAAAGTATTCTCTTTGACTTTTCTCTACCTTTTTTGACAAGGCTCAAAGTCATCTATTCCACTCTCTTCACAGGTGCCTCCTGAAGTCTTCTTTGTACATGTCCAAATCACCTCAAACAATTTTCTATAATTTTTCCTTCAATAAGTACAATGCCCAGTTTTTCCCGTATTCGCTCATTTCGAATTTTGTCTTTACATGTATATCTGCATATCCATCTTAATATTTTCATCTCTGCTACTCCAACTTTATACTCTTGCTGTCCCGTTAAAGCCCAACATTCACTACCATATAATATTGCTAAACCTATAGCATTTCGATAAAACTTCCCTTTAAGTTTCTTGGGTACCTTATGATAGCAAATAACTCTTTTAGCCTTTCTCCAATTAAACCACCCAGCTTGTATTCTATATACAATATCTCCATCAATTTTCCCATTATGTTGAATAATCGCTAGAGAAAAAAAATCAAGTATCAAGTAATTCCACCAAAGAAGCATAAAGCCATAAATTCGATTCCTTTTAGGTGCCACAAATACCACCAATCAAATGCGATAGGAGTAAGGAATGCAAGATTTGTACAGTGAAATAACGATATTAATGTGCCTATCAGTAGTATAGTATATAGTACGAGGCACAAAAGCTTTTATTTGACATCAAGTAGATAAAAACGAAATGACACTCATTAATTATGAATCTTAATATTGCCAGTGCTATTACCTCTTCATAAATTTTTTTGATTCTGATCCCCATGGTATTTAATCTCGAAAAGAGCTTTTTCTTCAACAACTCAAAAGGCATGGCATCCTTCGAGGCCAAGCAGGTTTCCTGTGTGTGACAATTTTACATAAATTGACATAGAATTTTAGCAGTCAAGCAAAAAAAAAAAAAACCACCATGCTGAAGAAGATCGAGCAAACCTCAAAGAACAATCTTGTAGGAGACATAGGCATCACGTAAAGAAACGTTGGATAGTTTGTTTCCAGACATGGCACATTTTGCTTCATGTAATCTCTGTAATCCATGAAAACCATCAAGTTTGGATCGTAAGGATTGTTTTCCACCTAAAAGCATGGCCAAGAAACGTTCATCACCATTAGTTATAATTTTTATTACCTCATTATTTTGGAACAGGACACTTCAAAAGAAGAAAAGAAAAAACCATTCACCCAAAAAAAAAAACAAGGGAGAATATCATTGAAGGACTCTTGAAAAGAATTTAATATCTGATAAGGACTTTTAACAAATAAGCATTCACAATTAACAAGTAAAGTTTAAGTTTTAACAAGTATCTAATCCAGATCCTTGTCATATATTAAATTCTTTCAGAGGTCTATTATTGATATTTTCCCAAAAAACAAACTGTTATATCCTATTTTAAGGCAAACTCCAGAGCAACACAAAGAACTGGTCGGTTTTGAATATTTAGTACTAGTATTTAGAAGAACTCTATTGTTCCCAAAGACAAAACATGAAGGACGGGGGAAATGGAGCTTAGCGAAATTAGAGGAAGGCCACGCTTGAACTCATTTCAAAATGAGAGAAATTTTTTAATGACAAAATCATCAACCAAATTAGAAAGTTGTATACCATTGACCTAGCCTCCTACCTCAACCTCCACACCATAAGCTGTTTGGACGGACACTTTTGGACCCCCAACCTCATACTGCAACAACTTCCCTGAAGCCGCTCCCGATGCAACAGTAACAAGCCTATAATAACATGTCAGAAGCTTCAATAAATAACAAAGTGGTAGACAAATTTCATCACTGAATGGGTACAAAACTCAAAAGCAAGAAAATCTGTATTGTACCTGCAAGGCACTATAATATCATCTTCACATACAACATTACTATAGCCATTGCTAGCTTCAACAATCCTTTCTACTCTTGAGCTAAGATACGAGACACCTGACTCGACACACCTAGGGAAAATTAATATGAATCATAAATATAACAAAACTAAATTGAAGATTTGTTGATAGGAAGTTATATCATTATATAAAATGAAAGTGATGTAATAATACATTTCAAACAGTCTTACTCTTACCTTTTCAATAATTCTTCATGAAGCAAGTGTCGACTGACGCGTCCATAAGCACGGCCAATCAAAACGGGATCCTTGTCATCAAGATATACAATAGTATCCTGCCAAACGTGCTCTATACAACCTTCAAGTCCAAGACCTAAAATCATACTGAAGCATGTTCATTTATACGTAAGTGAAAATGAATTCATGCTCTTGTCAAAAAGATGTGTGCGTGTGCTTGTGTTTGTTATTTTTCAGGGCATAATGCCCAAATTGAAAATTATCAAGATAATTCAGAATTCACAAGTTCATTAGAAAACAGCATGCACAAATGCTTCTGAATGAACTTTGAATCTTCGATAGGCAAGTGATATATCAATTCAATGAAAACGGGAATTTTCAGAATTACAATTTGCTTTCTGATAATCGAAAGGTAACAAACATCATGGCACGAGTTTGTGAACATATAAACATCCTCCGCATTCTTTTATTTAGTTGATTTATAACTTTGTTGCTCACTGCTCAGGCGATATTAGAACCCAAAAAAAAAAAAAAGCGATACAAAAACAATATCAGCAGAATGAAGGAACAAGAATAGTACCTTTAAATTCATCCTCCCACACGCCATAATTATTTGTAAAAGGAAGATCTGGACCAATAAGTCCAACTGTTATCCCTAAATTGGCAGACTCTGCAGCCAAAGCAAGACCAGCTGGACCACAACCAATAACTACTAGATCCAGTATATCACCTCCAATAGAGATTGGTTTTAACTGCAAAACACGGCATTTCAGAAAGTAATAATCAAAGGTCCTAAAAACAATTATATTTGTAAACCAGTGTCAGAACCCAAATAACTGAACAAGGAAAGCTACCTTTGCCTCCAAAATAAAGCCAGTTATCAGCCCAAAAAAAAAAAAAAATGTTCGTGCTTGGTAACATTCAAAATAAATCCAAATGAGGTTTCACGTCATTTTAAACCTTTTTTTTTTTTCAAATTATAGTAAGCAGGGGACCCCATGCCATCCGTAAAGCCAAGCAGAAATAAAGACTAATCACAATATCGAGGCATCCTAAAAAGAACAGTAACCCCTACTGAAACAGAACAAAAATAGTGGAATCACAAATATCACTGAAGAGCAAAAATAACGATGGTGGAATCTAATTGAAAACTTGAAACTAACAATCCCACAAAAAGAAAGCCATATACAGTTAGAAGGAGCTTCTGTAGATGATGTCAGCTCCAACGACAGAGAGCAGAACCCTCTGTCAGAGACTCCATGATGATTATCTACTGTTACAATCTTATCCTTTCATATTTGACATTAACAGAGTGCAAATGCAGAAAACAGGAAACTCCTATCCAAACCTGATCCAACATACAAGACTAAACATTTCAATCAAATAATGATCAAAAACCACTAAAACAGAGCTTTAAAAGGTTAACTAAACCTTATCCACAAGCTTGGACTGTTTTTCCATAGTTTTGTTCTGCTGCATTTGGACGAAAACAAGTTCAGACCCACCAGCCTTGACGTAATCTTCCTCATCAGCGAAATTCTCATCAACGGCCACCAAACTCTCACTTCCCGCACGGGCTTCCACACGCAAACAACGTGAACGGCACCAATAGCCATCCCCAGAGAAGAAGGTTGGTCTTCTCAAAAGCTCCTTCTTCCTCGCCCTCGAAGATGAACCAAAAGAAACCGTCATTGCCGCGAAGTTTCGAGCAGCAACACACTCCATTGTTCCAGAAAAAGGAAAATTCTCCTGGGATTTAAGCCACGTTTAGTAGTTACCAATCTTGGCTCCTCCTGAGCATGGCATTGAAGCCACCATCACTACTCACACGCTGATGAAGTCAAAGGACGACGCCGTTTGGGAGCAGGAGTGCTGAGGTTGCTTGTGTGACTGGGAATGCAGCGAGGAATTGTGAGGGATTTTGGGATAGACCAGTGGAAGGAGGGAGTGAGGGAGGGAGGGAGGGTGTTATGGACTTATGGTTAAGACCGGCATCAGGAGGATGCCACGTGGAGAGCGAGGATTGGGTGGAGGTTGGGAAAAAGCTACCCCTTATCAGAAACGAATCGTTGCTCATTGCAAGGCCAAGAGACGATGGAGGGAAGATGTGCGAGACAGGAAAGGAATCTCAACCGTCCGTTCTGAAGGGCTTATAATTTGTACGGTCCATATTTGGGTAATTCACTCAGGGGCAATGATCTTCAATCTTTTTTCTATGTAGGCTACTATTTTTTTTTTTTTTCACCAAAGTAGCCAAGTAGGTTACCTAATTTTCACAATTGATTTTCATAGAATTCTATAGATTATACGTGAGATAAAAAAATTCAAATTAATTTGACCACTACTACTGTAAAACACTGGGTAACCCACTTGATATTAGGGTAGGCTTCCAATAATCCTTCAATGAAGCATCAATGCACAAGTGTGTGGTCGGAATTAATGACTTCCCAGGATCTCTAATTATCATTTCTCCATCTTTCTTTGAAAATGGTGCAGAAGAACCGTGATAGTTAGACTTTTTTAACCTTTTAATATTTTAGATCAAGCAAATAAAATAAAAAAATTAATTTTTTAATTCTTGAAATTTAAACTTATTTAAAATCCAATTCTTCAATGACTAATTGTCAACAAAAAAATATCAATAAAAAACTCCTAAAAAAAATTTAACAAAGATATAGACAGATTGAATATTTATCAAAACTTAAACTTTACTGGTTAACTGTAAATGTTCTCTTGTTAGAAATTCTTGTTAAATATTAAATTCTTTCAAGAGTTTTTTAAATGATATTTTTCATTCCTTTTATTCTATATATTTTCTCCATTTAAAAATATAAAGTATTTTTAATCGAGGCACCTATTAAACACCCTACAATAATATATAAAGTCATTATTAATAGAGGCACTTTTGAAAAAAAAAAAAAATGATTACACCTCAAAAGATTAAAAATATCTTATGTTTTTAAATATTTAACTCCTCAAAAAATATCTTATATTTTTTAACAGAGAGAATATTATATTTTCATTGTTTTTCATACGAAAACACGTGTCATGTATACTTGATGTTTCCTTCATTTCTATTTTCATTTGTCGCACTCGCACCAGATCAAATCAAAGAACTGAATCAAAGCAGCAATTTCCTCGGGCATCATCTTCATTCTGTGAACTCGTTTGATTCAGTAATTCTATATGTAATGTTACTCAAAACTCGAAAGCACCATGGCCTCTGCTCCAACATCCACCAACTCAGCAGCAATAAGTGGCGGATAGAAACTGTTCAGCTGGTCGAGCGGAGAAAGGAATTTCATGGGTTTCAAGGAATTCTTTGGCAACTTCAGCAATGGAAGTGAGCACACAAGGAACAAAGCCGAGGAATTCTTTGCTGTTAGTGCTTGTTTTCTGCAAGTATTGGCTATGACGATGCCACTTTAATTAAAGGATAAAAGGAAAAAAATTAATATTTAATTCTCATATTGGACTTAAAATAGAAACTTCAGCCCAATAGGCATAACTATGGCTAAAGACACAGGTAGCCAAAAGAACATAAGTTGGTCCACTATCCAAAAAAGAGGGGCGTGACACCCATGAGCCTAACTTAATCTTTAAGACTTTGGATGACTAAACATATAAGACCATTGAAGAAATATGGTGTGTCATGCCATGAATCTTGCAGCCCGTGCTACTAAATCCTTGTTATTTCATGAACGAGCTTCAGATTTTGTGGGATAACAATGTCGATTGAAAATTTATAAAGGAGCAAAAGATTGCAAAAAAAGGACACAAACAATCAATCATCAACATCTATATGTCAATACTTTTAGTATTTTTACTTTGCATTTCCAAATAGTTTCTATAATTATTTTCAGCTTTGTAGCCCCTATAAGTTTGTACATTGCATATTTATTAATCAAACACTCATTTATTATGATCTCTTTACATCTTTACATTTGGGTAAAATGTGATAAAGAAGCTTAGGAACTCTTTTTTATCTTTCAAGGTTTAACATCTCTAATACACCTGACACTTTTGTTATTTGTAGGAGAACACAAATATAAATGGGGTGCATGCTCTAGGAACACCATCAACATCCTAGATAGAGGCTTCAACTTGTATCTTTCTTGATTGGCCCAATCTTGTCTCAATTATATTAGGACGAGTCTTGTCTTAGTTCGAAAACGATCAGAATAAAATTTTATGGGACAAGACGGGAAAGTAGTTTGAGACAGGATGAGATACGAGAGTGCCCTCGAGATGTCTTATCCCATTCAAATATTATATATGTGTGTGTGTATTATTTTTTATTTTATAAATATACATTAAATATATTAATTATATTAATATAATTTATACTTATACTAATTATATCAATTATAATTTCAATACATGTAATTCTTATTTAAAATTAAAACTTTTTTATATTAATAATTTTAATGATACAGAGTTATGGACTTATGGAGTAAGCAATACAGGGTAATATATTTATTTATGATATATTAATTGCATTTATACAATTTATTCTTATATATATCCATTTAATAATTTTTATTTATATCATTTTTTTTTATTTTCATATCTCAATTAAAGAAGAAGAACAATGATTTAACATTGTGCCTAGCTTATCTATGTTATACACTTGCAGTTGTGATTAATGTAGTTCAATAACTGACTTAAATTGTTGTAATTTTAAACTCAATAAATTATATGATTTAAAATTTTAATGAATGTTATCATCTAGAACTTTCTCTCACATTGTCCGATTTATCAGGATGGCAAAACATGCCAATCTTGTCTCGATTCATTTCAATTCCTAATGAGATCGAATGACTTATAAGATGGGACAGGATACAAGATCAAAATTCAATTTCAATCTGTATTTAGGGTGAGACACAAGACATGGGTATGTTAATTTTATCTTATCCCGTGAACACCTTTAATTCTAAACGAACATGAATAAGTGGAGTGAAGGAGGAACGCAAGGCTGTGGCTTTGGGCTAGAATTCAGTGGGAAGTTGAATCATTTGGTGGAGGCGCCAAGCATTTGGAGCTAAGACACTTGACTTTTTTTTATTGCAAAATTCAAATGGAGCTAAGTGAAGATTATGAGGATAAATTTATAAATGATGGAAAGATTAAAAATTAAATTTTAAATAAGTTAAAAGTATAGGAATTGAGTTGCGATAAATTATATTTATGGGATTGAGTTTTAAGTGAGTTAAAACTTCAATGACCAAAAGATTAGTTTTTTCATAAAATAAACTCAAATTTAAGACTTTTATTATTATTCCTATACTTTAATTTAAACTCAAAAACTTTAATAGTGTGTTTAGATTAATGAAAATATGAATTTAAATCAAATCCCTCATTTAAAAACACAAAAAATTATGAATTTGAATCTAGTTTGAATCCAAATCCCTTTCAAATTATAATTCCTTTGTAATTTTAAATTCTATCTATACATTTATCATTTGAAATTATAATTACTTCAAACATTTTATTCCTTTCACGTTTTACTATTAATACTCATGTAACTCTTTCATATATTTTTTTATTTCTTGTTGATTAAAAAATATAAATAAATTTATTATTTTTAACTTTTCATTTTCTCTTCAAATTTCAATTCATCTTTTTTTTCATTTAAAATTTTTTAAATTACTCAAACAAAAGATTTTAAATATATGGATTTTAAATATGAGACTTGAAATGTAAGATTTTAAGTTTAAAATCTAAATTCAAATTCATCAATCTAAACACTATCGAAAGTTAAGTTTGTGAATCTATTAAGCCCAAACCCTGATATAATAGGATTTAAGTATTTTTTTTTAAATTATTGCATTATGCTAATATAGCAATTATGCCAATTAACACTGATTATAAAGTTGCTGATTAAATCACTCCCGTAAGTGGCTGCCCCCTAGTATTGTTAATCAAGTTACTGGCACTTAAGTGAAGGATAAATTCTTTTGAAAGTCATGCATTAGCGCGTCCTTTTCAATCAAATCCATCTATACTCTTACACAACATGATGCTTGGTAGATGAAAAAAATATTTTTAAAAGAAAATAATAAATGCACATATATCTGTTTGTAGGGATGTTTTTCATTTTTTTAGGAAAAAAAAACATTTTCATATACCAAATATACATTTATTTTTGAAGGTTGTAAAGAGCAAATCAAAAATATATGGAATAACATTTGGAGATGGGCCACTCCTAAGAAGAACAATAAGCTGCACAAGAGACCCATACACTAGTCATCCATGTCATAACATCAAAGATTAGAATGTTTCTATCAGTTTTATGTCATGACGGTGTTGCAAACGTTCTAGCTAGGAAAAAGCTACATGAGTTAGATGCTAATTTATTTACATCTTCGATCATTCTTCACTTTTTATTTTTTGTTCTACTACATTTTTTTTGTACAGCTTGTTCTTTAGTAAATGATAGTTTTTCAATTAACGTTAAAAAAAAAATATCACAGCATGTGATATGAACTTGATGATGAGATAATTGATAAATTAAAGTTGTAAAGACTTTAATGAAACCCAAACTAATTCTAGTCGAGACATGACAACCAGCACAAAGGTGAGCGTCCCTAGTTAGGGGCTACTTATATTGCTATATTCAAAACTTAAATTCAAGACTTTTTGATTAAATTGAAATAATTTTTACTAATTGATTAAGAGCTCGTGGTTTAATTAAAAATTATAAATGATCCCACAGGTGAGATATAAATATGACAGATAAAGATCATTATTGTTCTATCAAGAAATCAAGGTTACATATGAGAATGCAAACCTCAAAACACATTCAAAATTAACAAATGGATTTATTTACAGGGAGGTGAGCTAAGATTGCTTTAGCATGAGGTTTTGAATTTGAGTTTATATTAATGTAAAAAATACTTTTGAAAGAGTGCCTGCCTTCCAATTAAGCTTATCAATACTTAA